TGGGCCTGGCTGCGGAGCAGCTCTGCGGGCTGCGGAAGCCCCGCTCCGGCTTGCCTGCTTTAGGAAAAACGATTTTTTTTTCAGAGCCAAGGCGGGTTTTTGCTCTGCTCTCTCGCCCATCAGCACTTTTGTGTCTAGCCGACGTGCAAAATATTTCGGATGAAGCCGCTCAGACTTTTGGATGAAATCTTCTCAATTGTTCAGAGAAAATCTTCCACTTTCTGGATAAAGTATTCCAGTTTGGGCACTGAGTTTTTGCTGGAAACTGTATTTCCATGGAAATTGCTGGCAAAGAATGAAAGGAATTTTTTCCCCTTCATTAAAAAAAAAAAAAAACCCTCCTCAGTGGAGACATGGTTTAACTCTTTTCTTACAGCATCAGAAAAGGGTGATTTCCAAGGACCTGGGCAACCAAGGTCCTTCCTAGGGCTCCAGTGCATCATCTTAAGCTGTTCACCTAGAAGAGTATTTTCAAACTGAAAAGGCAAAGTCCCTAAAGCTGGGAAAAAAAAAAAGGTTGCATCTGCTTCAAAGTAAAAATCTTGTTGTTCCCAGTATGGTCAAAAGCTATCTAGAATCCAGTGAAGGATTCTAGATAATCTAATGAACTACCCAGAAGGGTGTTCTCAGTGCGGTGATAACAAGGGAAAAATGCAGAAAAGGAAAAAAAGCTGAGGATGGGGAAGGAGAAATAAGCGTGACAGAAAATCCAGCCAAAGAGTCCAGGAATTTTTGCTCAGATTTCAGTAACTTTCTGTGGCGCCTCCGGCTCCATGTATAGCAGCTTTGCTGGTTCAGGAAGAGGAAAACCTGGCATTTTTCTACCTAAGCATGACATGAGCTGCGCTGAAGAGCTTAGGGGCCTCCAAAAGCAAGGGAGTTTTTCTAGGTGCTTGTGAATGGAGTTTGGAGGATGCATTGGAGTTTGTGGGAGGATGCATGTGTGCTCGCTCGCTTGGAGTTTGTGGGAGGATGCATGTGTGCTCGCTCTTGGGTTCAAAAGCGTATCTTGTCCCTCAAGCGTTTGGGTAGCCTTTGTTTTTGTCCTCCATCCTGAAGCATTTGCTAGGCTCTTGTCACGTTCCACCCCTGGAGCAGCCTCTTCTCTTCGAGTTGCTTGCTAATGCCCAGCAAGCAACCAGTCCTCTAGTGACGAGGAGAACTGTCGCTTCTGCATTTCCAGTCACTTGCTGCCCATGTTGGTTGCAGCCCGGTTCTGCTGGGCTCACTGGCTCTGGCCTGGGAATTACTTTGAACATGAATACCATGATGTAAAATTTTAAGAATTAGAATTTGCCCAGTAACAAACTGAGGGCAAATTGTGGCTGTCTCTTTCACTTGCCAAAGAGCTGACAGGAGTAGCTTAAGCGTGCACCTGTTTCCCCAAAATTGCACCAACGTGATCGAAGGGAGGAGCCAGGGCTCCCTGTTAGCATCGACTGTAGCAGACTGACCTGAGCATGCAGGACAAGATTATGCTGAGAAGGTTGCTGGAGATGCAGTGTGTCACAGCTAGACACACAGAGGAGGAGAGCAGAAGCAGAGTCCGTATCTCCCCCCACATAAAAATAACAAGCCACAGCCCTTCCTACCTCCTTGAGGCAGAGCAAGCTGCCTGCTTGCAATCCCTCTTCCCTCCTTTCTTGGGGCGACTGTGCGAGGGTCAATGAGGGGTTGCTTAGGCTTTTCTTGGTGCAGAACAACCTTCCCAAGGCAGGGCATTGCCTTGCGAGCGACTCCAGCCCCGCTACAATGGGAAATACTTAACAGACTGGCTTGCTCCCTTGCCTTTTTGACCTCTGTGCCCAGGAGCTCAAGAGGCAGAAGGGGAGCTCCCATTGTTCTTCGATGCAAGGGCTCTGCACATACGTGACCCATTTTTGTGAAAGAGGAGATGTGCTCAGGGGCAGGACAGGATGTTTCAGGAGAAGCCCATCCCAGGGTTTCTGCCCATTTCCTGTCCATGTGGCTTCCATCACCGT